ACAGTTAATATAAATCGAGAATATAAATTGAATTTTATATAAATTTGAAGACAGTTAGTTTTCTAATTAATTACAATGCTGGAAACATAATTAAATGTTCGTCTTTTTGTACGTGTACAATATTTTATTCAACAAGAAGAAAGATAAATTAAAAGAATCTCGTCTTTTTATTTTATGACGTCTTTTACATATTGACAGTACATTACGAAAGTACAATATAATGCTGAGATATTGGAGATCTTAAATATAATTGCTGTTACTTTCTAAAGTATTGTACCGGATTTCTTAGTGATATCATTATCTACTGAATGCTATAATATACATCACTTATTGTAATGAATTTACTTACATCGTTTTATTCTTGAAATTGAAATGTAGACAATTACATGTAAAGGCCTTAATAACATTTCAAAAAAATGAAATATACGAAATTAAACATCATACTTTGTTTACCCACTCGTTATTTCATTAAGTGTTTCATTCCCAAAAATGTGTTAACTATTTGTAGCAAGTAATAAATCAGTAATGACTGTTTCAAATTAACTTTGAACACTGTTATAGTATTATAAATAGAGAAGAAGTTTTCTACTTTGTTTTGCATCGGACAACCATCGTATTTCGGTGCATAGAATTCTAAATAATTCTGATTGAGAATCCCTTATATTAAAAAGCATTCACAAAGAAAAAGTTCTTGTCAGAATTCAATTTTAAAATAGTAAGCTTATCTAGCGATATCATTTGTGCTTCGACTTTTTCTTTTTCTTCGACTGTTTATTTCTACTCTTTGATTTCTTTGATTTCTTTTTGTGTTTCTCCTCATCGCTGCTTGTGTCAGACGAATCCGAGTACGAGTCTGAATCCGAGCTGCTGTCCCTCTTGGCGGACTTCTTTTTCTTGTGCTTCTTGTGTTTTTTCTTCTTTTTCTTATGTGACTCGTCCGAGCTATCCGAATCCGTGCTGGTCGTGTCCGAGCTACTAGACGAATCCTCACTGCTCGTAGATTTTGATCGCTTTTTAAGGGACTTTAAATCCATCTCCTTCTCTATATCTGGCTCGTCCAGTTTTAATTTCTTGGTAGGCAATGATATTATTTTGCCGTCTTCGCCGTCGGATTCGGAGTCCGAAGCGCTGTAGTCAGGCTCGAAGCTAGCTTCATCAAGTATGCTACGTTTGCGGTCGGAAACAAGTCTCGGATTCTTCCGTTGTTTCTTCACGGTCTCTGCAACCGGCGGCTCAGGATTCTCATAACTTANACAGTTAATATAAATCGAGAATATAAATTGAATTTTATATAAATTTGAAGACAGTTAGTTTTCTAATTAATTACAATGCTGGAAACATAATTAAATGTTCGTCTTTTTGTACGTGTACAATATTTTATTCAACAAGAAGAAAGATAAATTAAAAGAATCTCGTCTTGTTTTTTTATGACGTCTTTTACATATTGACAGTACATTACGAAAGTACAATATAATGCTGAGATATTGGAGATCTTAAATATAATTGCTGTTACTTTCTAAAGTATTGTACCGGATTTCTTAGTGATATCATTATCTACTGAATGCTATAATATACATCACTTATTGTAATGAATTTACTTACATCGTTTTATTCTTGAAATTGAAATGTAGACAATTACATGTAAAGGCCTTAATAACATTTCAAAAAAATGAAATATACGAAATTAAACATCATACTTTGTTTACCCACTCGTTATTTCATTAAGTGTTTCATTCCCAAAAATGTGTTAACTATTTGTAGCAAGTAATAAATCAGTAATGACTGTTTCAAATTAACTTTGAACACTGTTATAGTATTATAAATAGAGAAGAAGTTTTCTACTTTGTTTTGCATCGGACAACCATCGTATTTCGGTGCATAGAATTCTAAATAATTCTGATTGAGAATCCCTTATATTAAAAAGCATTCACAAAGAAAAAGTTCTTGTCAGAATTCAATTTTAAAATAGTAAGCTTATCTAGCGATATCATTTGTGCTTCGACTTTTTCTTTTTCTTCGACTGTTTATTTCTACTCTTTGATTTCTTTGATTTCTTTTTGTGTTTCTCCTCATCGCTGCTTGTGTCAGACGAATCCGAGTACGAGTCTGAATCCGAGCTGCTGTCCCTCTTGGCGGACTTCTTTTTCTTGTGCTTCTTGTGTTTTTTCTTCTTTTTCTTATGTGACTCGTCCGAGCTATCCGAATCCGTGCTGGTCGTGTCCGAGCTACTAGACGAATCCTCACTGCTCGTAGATTTTGATCGCTTTTTAAGGGACTTTAAATCCATCTCCTTCTCTATATCTGGCTCGTCCAGTTTTAATTTCTTGGTAGGCAATGATATTATTTTGCCGTCTTCGCCGTCGGATTCGGAGTCCGAAGCGCTGTAGTCAGGCTCGAAGCTAGCTTCATCAAGTATGCTACGTTTGCGGTCGGAAACAAGTCTCGGATTCTTCCGTTGTTTCTTCACGGTCTCTGCAACCGGCGGCTCAGGATTCTCATAACTTATTTTCGCCTCACTGGTCTCCGGTTTCTCCTTCATCAGAAGACTATCTTTATGCTTTTGCTTCTTCTCCAAGTTCTTTTCTTTATCCTTTTTATGCTTCTTCTCCTTCCGCTTCTTATGCTCTTTAGACTTACTTCTGCTTCGATGCTCTTTCTTCCTCTTCTTGTCTTCTTTTGACTTTTTGTCTCTCCTCCTGTCCTCCTCGTCCTCCTTACCCTTCAGAAGACCCACCTTTGACATCTCGTTCCTTTTGAAGGTACAAGTGGGCGTTTTTCCTCTTCTCTCCCTATCCCTCTCCTTCTCCCTATCCTTATCCATCCGATCGCCCTTGGAATCATTTCGATTTGACCTGAAATCGCCTCTGGAATCCATCCTCGGGTCTCTCTCGGATCTCATATCGTGACGCTCGCTTCTGAAGTCATTTCTGTCCTTCGAGCGGTCTCCTCTGTCCTTGTTGTCCCGTTTCCTGTCATCGAGAAACACCTTTCGTTCATTACCTGGCAATGTCAACGACGAATCGATACGCCTTTCCAGAAGCGGTGAAATCCTCTTGTCTCTGTTCCTAGGCGATCGACTTCTAGATTGCGTTTCACTCTTTGTCTCGCGTCTCTCTAAGAAGCTTTTGATAGGGCTGATCTTTCTTTCTTTACCTTCCTCCACTTTCTCCCCTAATCTCTCCTTAGCAGACAGTCTCGTAGGCGAGTACGTTTCTGGAACTGGTTTGAATTTTGTTCTGTCTAATTTAGCTTTCTTTACCGGTTCTGTGATTTCAACGTTTCGTTCGTTGCGCCCGACGTTTATGGTCACGTTTACACTCTTCCTTGGCTCTCTGTTGACTTCAGCTTCGAGCACTTTAGGCTCTGGATTCTGGTACAGCACTTTCCTACTTTCGCTGATCTTCTTAATCTCGATGGGTCTAATGGCGTTGATGGCTTTCTGGAAAATCGCGTTTTCCGCTCGTTTTAATACTTCCGATGTAACTACTTTAGTAGACTTCGGTTCGTCTAGTTGTATTTTTTCTATAGAAGACTCGCATACCTCGTCTGGTTTCTCTATGGTGTCGTCCCTCTCCCATTTGGAAAGCTCAGGTAAGGGAGCCAAGAATTCATCCTTCTTCGGTGATTTGTCTTCCAGTAAAGTGTTTTTCTCTTCCGTTTCGTTCTCAGATAGTAAAGAATACTTCTCCGTGATGACAGTATTTATTTCCGCGTCGTCTAATCCACTGTAAAGACTATCAATAGGTTTAATTTCAGATTTTAACTCCGGAATTGGTTTGAAATTAGGGTTCGGGGGATTTGTTCCGAATTCCGTATGATCGATCCTCTCTGGACTAGGTTCGTTAAACTCTGGCGGTTCTGGATTCATAGCTAATGACTTATCTTCGAACTCTTCTTTAATTGACTCCTCCATCAGAACTTCTGCAGGAATGCATTCTATTCTAGTTTCAATGTTTTCTTCTTCGTTAATAGGTTTCATGGTATCAGGTTTAACAGGCGACATAGTTTCCTGTCTAGTTTCCACTATCGAATCCTCTTGTTCAGATGATTTGATAGGTTCATCTTTCGCTACCTCTTTCTGACCTGCTTTCTTCTCCTTCTTCTTTTTCTTTTTCTTTTCCTTATCTTCGTCCTTCTTCTTCTTTTTCTCTTTGATCTTTTTCTCTTTTTTCTTTTCTTCGCTCTTCTCTTCATGGTCCTTCTCCTTTTTCTTTATACGTTCAGGCGACAAGTCTTTAGCATCTGTCCGGGACTTTTGTGAGTATGGCGTGGGACTCTTCCTATTCTTTTTTCTTTCTACAGATCGTCTCTCGTAACGTTCGTGTCGGTCCCTATCCTTTTCCGACTCGTAATCTCGTTCACGTCTGTCTTTCTCGCGATTACGGTTCTTATCATCTTGTCTGTGACGATCTCTTTCATCTCTGTAACTGAACAAGTTTTAGAGTAATATTCATGAAATACATTTGACAGAGATTTATAAGTTGCTGCACCCTATCACAAATTTGTTTTCACTATACTATCCTATCGCAAAGACGGAAAGTAATACCCACCGATCCTTGTCATAATCTTTTTTCTCAACATGTCTATCATCATCACGACGGTCACGTGTGTGCCTGTCGTCTCGTTCCTTTTCTTTTTCTCTCCTGTCACGTTCATCTTTCTCACGTGGCCTGTCGTCATGATCTCTAGGTAATACTTGTCTGTCTCGATCTTCCCGATCTCGATTAAGAACTCTACGATCTCTGTCGTCTCTCTCACGTAAACGATCGTCACGTTCACGTCCCCTGTAAAAAGCAAATATTTCTTAATTTTAAATCATACTAATTCTTTACAATTCCTTTGCACACATGGTACTCCACATGGTTACCAAAACGTCTGGAACTGTCCAGAACAGTTACTATTATGCAAGAGACTGTATCCAAGATTGTAGGAACTAGAGGAAGATAAATTATTAATTTGTAGCTAGATGACCTAAAATATGGTAGCCTGTTTCTCAAAAGGAAAGACACGAGACAAATGTGTAGAGCATAACGTTCTATAAAAGAGTTAAGATTACTTTAGCGTGAAAAGCATTTGATTACCTGTCCTCTCTTAATCTGTCTCGCTCTTCAGCATCGTGATCTTTGAGAGAGTGCTCACGATCTTCTTGATCTCTTATTAAACGTCGATCTCGATCATCGCGCGATGATCTATCAGAATGCTCAACCCCTGGTGGTGAGAGATCATAGTAACCCTCGGTCCCAGGAGGAGCAACGTCGTCGAATCTCTTGTGTGGAGTGTCCCGTATAGGACTACCAAAACGTTGCGTAGATGGTCCGGGATATCTGTTGACAAAAAATTCACAAAAGAACGTTTATATTAATGTTGATCCACCAAAAAAATATATTACAGAAGCTTCTTTCACTATCAAAATAAATATGTTGTAAGTTCCTTAAATGTACAAAATACTAAAATTCAAAAATAAAAATAAAACTTGTTATACAATTAAACTGTGTATTCTATAAATTTGTATTGAGTTAATTCAAATTTATAATAATGTAGAACTGTACTTTGTTTCTATAAAAATATTTATGAAAATGGTTTTTATATTTAATGTTACGTATATACTTTGAACATGGATCAAAGTATAGCTTTTACTATTTTTCAAATAGATATTGTTAAACAAAATTTAACTATTGTTGTTTTCTTACTAAAACACTGCCATGGAAATTTGAGACCATTGCGAGAGAAAATTACACTAAAGCTGAAAAGATGAACAGATAAAATTACTTAGTATCAAATAGATTAAATGTACTGT